ATTCCCTCTCTTTGGTTAAAGCCTTTAGCAACTAATCTAGCCTTGAACCGTGCATTTTCACCTTTTGAATCACCTTCTTTTATCTTATAGATCCATTTGCAATAAATAACCCTTCTCCTTTTGGTTTATTCACTAAGACCCAAGTTTTATTTTTAATTAATGAAAGCATTTCATCTTTCATAGCATCAAGCCAAAGACTTGCATCCTTTCCATTAATGGCCTCTTCATATGAATTAGGCTCATTATCCAAAAAATTCTGAACATTCAAAGCTATAACGAAATCAGAATCATTATATCTTGTTGGTGGTCTTATTTCTTTTCTCACTCTATCCCTTGTAAGATGATTATCTCTTAAAGGATTTTCAGGTTGATCATGTTCAGGTTCAATAACGGGTTCTAGTTCAATTTCAGGTTCAAGTTCATTATTTAGTTCCTGGCCAAGCTCCACCTCAAACTGATTATCATTTCTAGACTTTAAATCTGTCTAAAAAAGTTTAGATTCCATTACAGTTTTGTTTTGATTAGTTTCAGTTGTTGCTTTTCCTTTTTCTTTAATACAAGGCATATCTAACTCATTAAAGATAACATTCTTACTTATTATAACCTTATAACCTCCATGTTCTTTCAACCAAGCCTTATAGCCTTTAACACCTTCACCATAACCTAAGAAAATACCCTTAACTGATCTGGGCTCAAGTTTCCATTCATTTTGATGAACATAGGCATCACATTCAAATATTTTTAGTTTAGAATAATCAACAAAATAATCATTCCAAACATGATCATGTGTATCATATTTTAAGATTTTAGTAGGACATTTATTTGTAAGAAAAGAGGCAATTTTAACAGCTTCTCCCAAAAGCCCATTCTGTTGTGGAGTATATGTTACAATCCTATGTCTAAGAATCCCATTAATTTTACAGAAGCTATCAAACTCTTCATTGCAAAATTCAAGACCATTATCAGTTATAAGTGCTTTAACACTTATTAACTTGATTTTCAATAAGAGTTTTCCATTCTGCAAAATTTTTGAAGATATCAAAATTTTTTTCAAAAGAATGACCCAACATTTCTTTGAAAAATCATCAATAATGAGCAAGAAGTATTAAAACCAGAATAAGTGCACACAGTAGCTGGTCCCCACAGATCAGCATGCAAATAATCAAGAATGGATTTAGATTTATGAATGTCAGTAGCAAAATGCAATTTTTTTTTTGCTTCCCATAAATGCAATGTTCACAAAATGACATTCTTTCTATCCTTTCATTACCCAAAAGACCTTGTTTCTTAAAAATGTACAAATCTTATAACTAATATGTCTAAGTCTTTTGTGCCAAAGTTCAGATTTATCAAACTAGGAGACTGAGACTGTTGCAGAAAGAGATTTGTTCTGTAAAGGTAAAGCTTTCAAAGTATAAATCCCATTTGATTTTTCAACATAAGTAACATTTGCAAAATCCTTTTGAAGTGTTAAAATACCTGTATTTATAGTAGTATTAAAACCTTCATCATCAAAAGTACCTAAAGAGATTAAATTCCTCTTTAGATCATGAATGTATTTGGTTTTATTCAAATTCAAAACATTCTCATATTCTAGTTTTAAAACAATTTTACCAATTCCTTTTATTTTGCAAGAGTAGTCATTTCCCAACATTACCTGTTCTCCATTTATTTCAAGAAAATCAATGAAGTATTCTTTATAAGGTGTCATATAAAAAGTACACCCAGAATCAAGAATCCATTAATCTTTAGTTGATGATTGACAAGTCGTGTAAACCTGTCCATCAGAGGCTGCAACTTCTTCATAAGCTATAGCAGCTCCTCCTTCAACTTTGTTAGCATTTTTCAATTCATCAATTCTCTTGTTACAATCTTTTATTATCCCCCCCCCCCCCCCCCCCGATTNTCCCCCCCCCCCCCCCCCAAGATTCATCAAGGGCTTTAGCACATCTAAAATGTATTAATAGAGCCTTCATTTTCTTACTCCAGAGAGTAAAGTCACCTTTGTCATTCCATATTTCAACATCAACCTTAGTACTATACATTTTAAATTTGAAAAACAGTGAATGCTTAACAATTTTCAAAATAGAGCAAAGTTTGATGTACCAAAAATCAGAGAGTAACAGTCCAATTAATGTACACACGGAGAGTGTTAAGGTGTAGAAAATTTAATTTCACACAAATGTACATAGTAAGAATCAGAGAAGCAGATAAACCAAATAATAACCTAAACAAAAAAATATGCAACTTTCGAAAATAAAAGCTCAAAGTAATCTCGAAGAAACCTTTAATTCCAATCCCCTCAGATTTTAGGGTTTTTAAAAGAAACCTTAGACAAAGGAAGATTCGAAAGGGTTTCAAATAAGAGATCTAAGAAATCTACAGATCGAAGGAAGATACAAGAGGTAGGGTTAGAAACTTGTTACCAACTATCTCAGATCAACAATGTAAATTAATGAATACCAAAACTATTTTACTTTCTCCGGAAAAATAAGAATTCAACCCTTTTCCAGTACAGATCTTTGAAGATCTAGGGTTTTGTTCGCCAAGAGCATCAGAAAATACCAGATCGAGGAATTTTATAAAGATCGATGTGCTCTGATACCACTATTGCTATCACACAAGCTCCAAATACATCAAGTAATTACAGGAATAAAAGAACACGAGATTTTTTGCCTGTAGGCCCGGATGTTCACCCAAATTAGAGCATACACTGAAGTGGTTATCACTCCAATCCACTAAAAACCAGTAATAATCAATACAGATATCCACAAAAGGATTATGCCCTCAGACCCAAAATGTTTCTCTCAAGAAACCCTCGAATGATTATACTAAGTAACCAAAGGTTACTGCTCAAAACAAAGAACAGATTCACTACAACCACACCTTAATCAACATTAGATCTCACCAAGAATATCTAGAATAGATGATTACACGGTGAAAACCAAAGGTTTTCAGAGAGAATACACTGAGAGCAGAATAGAAGAAAATTCAAAGAATAATCTCGAAGCCACACCATAAAATGAAAAACCAAGTAAATAATACAAACAATTAGAAGCATCCGACGGACACAGCCATTCCACATGGCATCATCTCAACCTTCAAAGTAAATAACTAAAGTCGCACTTCAGTTTAAAAAACACGAGAATACATATTGAAATGGGCTGCCGGGTTGTATTTAGAATTGAGCTGGACTCAACAGGATATTGGGCTGCATCATTGGGCTTTAATTTGAATTATCAGTTTGGGCTACATCATTTGAGCCCAAAATTGTTAAGCAACCAATGTTTAACAATTAGTATATCAACATGGTGGAGTTCTATCAAGCTGATGAGGAGATTACAAGAATCTTTATTACAAATACCTCTGTTTTTAAAAAAAAAGAAAGTCAATTAAAAGATTAGAAAGGTGTATAATGCTGTTTGCGATTGGCTGTGAATGTTTCACCTATGAGATAAATGGTTCTGTTTGGAATTCCTAGTCATTGGTTGTGATGTAATATTTGATTGTGTGACAATAATTAAGTGAGCAGTTCTATTGCGTGTGCATTAAAGCCGTCCGATTATAGCTTTTCATTTATAGTTGGTAAAAGGTGACTTTATTTTCCACCCCCCTAGATGTTAGTGTGGGTCATGCCCTATAATCAAGCCAACAAAAACAGTACAAAAACTACATATTTCTTCTTTTTTTCAAAAAGCTAACACATTTTTCCTGCATGAAGTTTGGAAATATTTGTCATATTGATCCAACATGTAAAAAGATTCCCCTACATTCTAACGTTCTGAAACACTGTCTGGCTTTTTTAAATTAGGGATGGCCCATTTTCATTGATAAAATATTATATATTTAATATTATATTATAGTGGGCCTCATTATTAGACCTGTCACGACATTACGAAACAACATTACAAAATGTAATACGGCCATGCCTGGACCATATTCCACAATCCCTCCAGTCGAATGTGCCATTATATTTTTATATAAAATACGTATTGTTTGCCATGCGAAACTGCCAATAAAGTTGTACATATATAATGCCAGGCGCATTGATTATGTAGATTGTATATTTGTGTATGCAGAGGGTTTGCCGAATGTTCTATAATCGTTTTTATGTTTTATACACCCCTAATTTATAGGCGAATTTGAACAATTGAACGAGACATGGATCATCAAAAGAACACACGGTATCACATCCCGAATTTTATAGCAAGAATCGAACAGAATCAACATGACCCCTCGTGTAACTCGATGATGGGATCCACGGAAGAAGTTCAACTTTGATCAAGATTTGCTTGACCAAGGAGGTCGAAGCCTCAAGGTTCATTCATGGTTGAGCAGAAACCCGACCAACATGGCTTATTATAATCACTAATAATATATCTAAGCTGGTCACTTAGCATACCTAAGAGCATCTCCATGAGACAAGTTAGAGAGTGAAAATTTTAATGTACTCCAACAATACTCCCTATTTTGATTTTCTCAAGAAACATTTATTGATTTCTTCTCATATTTTATTAACATAAATTTTTATATGTTAATGACCAATTAATTTAAATATGTTTTGAATTGTTTAGGAAGTAGAATATTGAAATTTGTAATCTATTAAATCTATGTTTGTCTCCCATTCTTCCTAAATTTTTTTTTTTTACATACTCCTTTTCAATCACATATTTATACAATAAAATATTCTATGCGTAAATTCAAAATTGTTCCTTACTTTTTAATCACACATCCTACAAAAATTCATTATTCGAAACAATGTTTTCCAAACAAAATGACCAACGAATAGAGGCTAAATAAAATCATTGTTCATTAAGAACAGAGGTTAAGTTTGATTATCTAAATTTGAAGAGCAAAACGCAAATTAAAATAAAGAGATGCTCTGACATAGTCTTCACGGACAGCCCGAGTGGGATACTCTCTCTCTCTGTGTATATATATTTTTTGCTTGACTTTATAAAGAAAATGCTATAGCATGCCCAAATAAAAAGGATTTATGAATGGGAGGGAACAAGAAAAATGACCGTTAGAGTGTCTCATATATTTATATACATAAACTGAGATATCCCTTGAGCAAATTCATCACATTACATTACTCCATTCAAGATTCATTCTTCAACTCTATGTCATTCTTTCTACATTCAATATTCTTAATGGCTTATCCACATAGATTTCTTTCTTCTATTATTATTTTATTTTTGATCTACTTTTTATCTTTTATTGCAGCAACTTCAAATTCTAGCAAGCACCATCACAAATGGGTCGGACCTTCCGGCCACCTTCTCATCACCGTCGACGCCAATGGACTCGGTGACTTCCGGACAGTTCAAGCTGCTGTTGATTCCATCCCCAACAGCAACACGAAGAATGTGTTAATTCATATCAGTGCTGGTTACTACATGTACGTAACTCCAATTATTTGCATTAATTTTTTTGTTTGAATAAGGAGTTTATATTCATCCGGTGCGATGGTGGTGCAGCGAAAAGGTGGTGGTTCCGGCATCGAAACCGTACATAACTTTTGAAGGTGAAGGGAGGGATGTGAGTGTGATTGAATGGCATGATAGGGCATGTGACAAGGGACCAGATGGGCAGCAGCTGCGTACTTATCATACAGCTTCTGTCACTGTATTTGCTAGTTACTTCACAGCCAGAAATATTAGCTTCAAGGTATTTAACTAAATATACAAATAAGAAATTGTTCGAAACTATACAAAATTGCACGACCGTTTATCAAGTCACTGCCATTACATACTACGATTCATGTGACCGCATTAAGCATCTGTTTGACAATCATTATTTCAAAACTTTTTAAGGGTGTGTTTGATAGATATTATTTTGGAAGAATATATTTTGAAATAGTAGATTAATGGAGAATGTGAGGTTGAAAAAGAAGAAAAAGTTATTGATGTGATGAAAAATATTATTTTAATGAAGAATGTATGGTTGAAAATGAGTAGAAGAATGAAAATGAAAATTTTAATGGGTACCAAACACACCTTTAGTGTTGATGAGATTATAACCTCAATTTATAAAATATAAAATTGAATGCCTCATTTACTTGTATTTATAATTTAATATCATATTA